ACATCATCCTAAATGGAGGAAGACTGGAAGCATTCCCATTAAAATCAGGAACCAGACAGGACTTTCCACTGTCTCCTCTCCTTTTCATTATAGTGCTTGAAACCCTTGCTAGAGCAATAAGATAAGAGAAGGAAATTAAAGGAGTAATAATTGAAAGAGATAAAATTATCCCTTTTTGTAGAAGATGATATGATATATCTAAGAGACGCCAAAAATTCCACCAGAAAACTCCTCGAAATCATTAATACGTTCAGTGTTACTGGTTCTACTGTCAGCTTTGGTCAGAGAAGCTTCTTTTTTGTAGTTGTCAGCAGTGACTGCAAAGACTCATAACTGGTCAAATTACTGAGAATAAATGACTGTTGAATGTCCAGCCATAAAAGGACATCTATATCACCTCCCTCCAAGCCTCAGGAAACATCCCAAAGAAGGGGCAGAAAGAATGTAAGAGCTAGAGGAAGGGTGTGTGGGGGGTAATATGGAACACTGACTTCTGGGCATGCCATGGCTGTTGCACTCTTGAACTCATGGTGGCTGTGATTACCTGCACAAGATCTGCACAAGATTGGGCCTGTCAACACCCTGTTATGGAAGGGGGAGTTCAACCCTTCCCTGAGGATTTATACACAGTTAATGGTTGATGGGGGAGGAAGAGACCTTTTTATCTGTGATGTGGCTACTGGTAAGGTGCCTGTACTTCTGTAAACAACCTAAGTTAGGGCACACACACACACACACACACACACACACACAAAGAAAAGAAAAAGAAATAGAAAAAAAATGAAAGGGAACTTAGTTGGGAAGAGGAAGGGGATTAGTGGAAGTAGGAGAGGGGTTAGGGAGGGTAACAATGGGGCAAATATCATAAAAATACATTATGTATATGTATTAAAATGTCATAATGAAACTCATTACTATGTATCATTAATATACGCTAGCAAAGAATTTATAAAGTGTAGACAGGAGCTCAGTTGATACAGTGGTTGTCTTGTGTGCATGAGGCCCTGCGTTCCACCCCTAGCATTAACAAGTAAAAAGGAAAAATAGTATATAAAAAAGAAAAAAGAAAAAGTATTCCTCTGAAGCTCATGTGATGTTCAGAGGCTGGGGCCTTGAGAGGTGGCTGGATTATGAGGCTCCAACTTCATCAGTGGGTTAATCCATCGATGTATTTATAACTTAATGTGCTACTGGGAAATGATAGGAACTTAAGGAAGTTGGGTTAGATGGAGGAAATCAGGCATGGGGACCATGCCTTTGGAGGTAATACTGTGCAGTTCATTCCTCTCTTGTTACTTTTCCATAGCAACAAGGTGAATAGCTTTGCTCTACCACACACAGTCCCTGCCAAGATGGTTGGCCTTTTCACAGATCAGGAAACAAAAACTGAACCTCCTGACCATAGACTATCACTTCTGGAAATATGAGCCAAAATACATCTTTCCTTTTTTAAAAGCTGTTTTATTCAAGTGCCTTGTCACAGTGACAGAACGATGATGAAAACTCGACCTGGGCTCATACCTTGCCTTAGACCTTACTGTGACTCATGACAGTTTGGATCCCCTTTCTGTGAAACAACAGCAGCTTCTTCATGGGGTTCTCATGGAATACATCCCACATAAGAATCACGAGGCACATGCATGGACTCTAGCTGAGTAGATGCTCCAGAGAAGATGCTGACTTCAGAGCCTGCCCATCTCCATTACCACCCTGCATTTCCACAGGTGAGCACCTTTGGTCCTTGAATCATTCTAGAGATGGGGACTCATCATTACTTTCCAAATGAGGAAACTACCCTTTTGCCCAAGGCCATACTTAGAGAAAAAGTGTAGAACTGACATTCATGACCATGCAGATGGACTTTGGATTTGCTCTTTCAGGTTCTCTGACCTACCAGGTGGAAAAACCACTTTAATATTATTACAAAGTACCTATTTCTGAAAGATACTTTTCATGAACACAGGTATATCAATATAGTAACAAGACACATGAACACGCATACATATTCCTAGTATGTTTTTCTATTCATACTATTGTTCACATAACAATTATGCAAGATGGATCAACTTTAGACTCTTTGTGCCCCATGAGCTACTGGGGAAAAGACAAGCCGTTGCCTCCCAGCCAGCTCTTCCCTCTCTTTTCCCCTTTCCTCCCTTCTTTTATCCTCCTCACTTATTTCTTTTCTAGTACAACACAAGGGACATTGTTTGGTTAGATTTAGGTATTTTTTTTATAACAGTAGTAGTGCTTGTATGAATTGCTTTAATTAAAGAGAACTGAGAGAAATCTGTTGCTTCCTAATCTGAAGCAAAATTTTATAGTTGAAAATAGGTCCATATACTTTGATTTTGCAGCCTACATCTCCTGCACTATCTGACCTCAGTTTAGCCCAAGAAAATCACATTCTAACATTTTTCTGTCCCTAATATTGCAAAAACCCTGTAAAAGTAGTTATCCTTGGGGCTGGAGAGATGGCTTAGCGGTTAAAAACACTGACTGCTCTGGCAGAGGACCTGGGTTCAATTCCCAGCATCCACATGGTGGCTACCAATCGTCCTTAACTCCAGTTCCAGGGGAATCTGAAGCCCTCTTCTGACCTCTGCAGCATTGCACGACATGGGTGCACTCACATACATGCAGGCAATACACTCATACACATAAAAAAAAAAAATAATAGGGCCGGGCATGGTGGCACA